TACATATGTTTGAATCAATCATAGAAACGCTACAACATAGCTAACACAACATTAATCAAATGTTCGCGGTTTTTTTTTAACTGTAAAGAAACACTCATCCCACCATGTCAGTCGACGAGACTGACGGCTTCACGCACGTGTACAGATTAGAACGAATAACTGCCGACATTATCTCGGCAATTTGTTACTGGAAATGCAGGAAGAAAGGTGAGCAAAAACTAATCTGGCGGGGAAAATAAATGGGGAGACGACAGGAAAAAGCCTCCTCCCGCTTCTCCCCTGTCAGTCAGCTTGCGCGCACGCATGTGTGTATACCAAACAGTGACCTCTATAAATAGCTTTGTTTTTACGTGCACAGATAACTAATTAAGCATGAAATGTTACGTCTCCATTGTAAATTCAGTCTTAATACAATTGCGGAATACGAATTGTTTCTGGAAATTCAAAACATTCCTTTCATTAATTTCTCCGCAACAGATGCAATGCCGGAAAGCACGTGTAACCTGTTCATTGAAACGTTAAAATCGGAAACATATGAACGTTGGTATGGTGGGTTTGATTCACAGTCTGACATATATAACTGCCATCTTACTCGTGTTTTTTTCTGTAGAATTTCAGATAGATCTGTAATACTTGTAATACTGTGACAAATAAACAACACAATACACAAGGAAAACAATAAGAACACGGAGACTATCAGATTGGCTGTTTGTTGACCAACAAGAAAACCAATTCGTCTCAATTTTCTATCTTTATTTTCATAGTTATATTTCAAACACTGTTAAGTTGTTGATTCATTTACCTGACATTTATATTCGTATAAAACATAGCCGTCACTGTCTGCCTGTCACCTTACCAACGGCATAGAAACGGTTCGTCTCAAAATAGTCTCCAGGAAACGTGCATTGAGCTGTACAAGAGGCCTAGAGCAATGTTAACAAACCATACTAGTTCTTTCACGGAAACTGTGTTATAGGAACACTGCTAATACACACTGGACTTGTCAGATGATTACCTAGATAAGCTTGTTAATATTACCAGAATTCCTACGGAAAGGGTAGATCCTAAAGTTACATCTGTCACGTGATCTTCGATTTTAGTTATATTCCGGAACTGTCATAGAATCCCTCAGGGTACCGAAGTCATTTACAGGAAGCAAAAGTAGTTGTTGTTACTTATACAATCCTAATACTTATACAATTATAAAACTTAAACATTTATTGCTGTAGCACGTGATGTGTTACTGATACCACTTGATATTTTTATTTCATCACGTGACTCTAAAACATTTGAAAATGAAATTAGCGATTCTTGGCGGATTTTTATAATCGGATGTTCAGTGATTTTCACGTCAATAGGTAAGGGTAAAAACATGAAGCTTTGTTCAAAAGATAATTTCAATCGAAATCTATAGCTATTATATTGACATATACGGGTATATCTATATCACAGAACATACAGGTGTATAGAATGTCTGGAATCGACTTGGCAAGAATTCCTAACATTAACGACAGAATGCATCTGATATAAATATACTTGTATACTGACCATAAGGCTACAATTCGTGTATATATAATCATAGATAAAATTTGTTCAAAACAAAATCCTGAATTCAGGACAAAGCAATAACAACACAATTTCTCGGCCTATTACCACTGCTGATTATATTGAAAAAAAGAATCACTCGACATTAAGAGCATATCATAGTTAAATCTATTTCGGTATTCTGTTAGTCTTGTTGTGATCTGAAGAATAATAACGTGTCTTACCCTCTTTAAGATGAAACATAATTCCTATTATCAGGTTTTTTTCTGTTCTCATTTCAATAAATCTCTCCGATTTTCGAGTGGAAACCATAATGACTAATATCTGGCGCTTTCGGAGAGTGATATTACGCACTTTCGGATAGTGATGCTTATATTTAAATATTACATACTTTTGGATACTGGTTGTAAAATTCCACCATCTGGAATGATAACCAGTCCCCCTTGTCATATTTTGAAGCCAGGGATGGATTTTGAAATTTTCTATCACCTCCTCGCTCAGGTAAAATCGTTAAGTGTATTACTAATTCTATCAAAATGTGTGACTCATTTACGATGAATTAACTGTTTTATTAATAGACAACTGAGTCCGCATCACGTCAATACACTGAAGTCACGTGCAGCTATTGTGCCTCCCAATACAATCATTATGATGAATTCAATATATTTAACTTTAACACTTCCTTAATCCTTTACGAATTTCGATCACTAGTTCCATTATGTATCTACCATATTTATTGGGATTTTTTTTTCAAATCACTGTGAGAAAATTAGATAAACTTCCTACTGTAAGTTACTGTATAGGAAGAAACCTTTTGCTATAAACAATATTATTAATGTATGGGAATTTAAATATTACACGTCCTTACTCCTTTAAGTGGACTATAAGTGTTGTTGTTTATAGCTGGGGTATGCTTCTCTCCTCATCTGTCGGCTGTTACACTGATATTTCTTGTTTTCGTTTAACCTTTGTTTCAACAACCCCAGAACTTCTACTGACACATACAATATCTCCTGCTTGGTCTCCTGTGTGGCCCTGACGCCATTTAATATGATTCAATCATAGCAGTGCACCCTTTAATGTGGACAGTTAGCGAAAATTTCTATAGCCGTGTAAAAACTTAAGTATTGTTCGAAACTTCTGAATAATTCATATCGTTTTATTGTCAAAAACCGAAAAGTTCCTAGTGTTTAACACCGATTTTTTGCTATAATGCGGTACGATCCGTACTCATCGCTCCGTGATATGTAACTACTTGGACAGTACATCTGTGTGGACTTAACCACACGTCGAGTACGCATGGTACAAAATTATGCCTTATGATGTATTTGTTTCGCGTGAAATAAATCTCACTATGTAAACATGTTCGATTTTTCGTGCCGAAGGTCATAGCTATGGTGATGTTGTTGAGGTGATGATAAGAATTTATCAAAAGCTTTCACAAGAAATAGAGGAGAGGTTCCATTGTAATCTTCCGTTAGCTAGACAGAGATGTAATATATCTCCGGTACCCGGCTGACAACAATGATATATTAAATTGCCCCCTTGAACATTTATATGCATTTCCTTCATCTAAATTCAATCTCGGAGAATGATTGTACGAAACGTTGATGCATACAGTCATCAATACCAGAAATACACGTTTAAAACTTCATCTATTTCTGTAAAACAGAAATTTATTTGATCTTTTCTTGGTGGGTGTTTTTGGTTCGTGTTACATCTTAATCTGTTTTACAAAAAAGATGGAATTAGTGGTAACAGTGCTGAATTTTCTATGTTTAAGTGAACAAGGCAACAGACGTCAATCCGAAGATCTTCGGGAACGGTCGTCCTATGATATGACATGGACAGCACTTCGATGCCACCATTTTCTTACAGATCACAAGTTACCAATAATTCTAATAATCAATTTTTAGCGTTTTTATTTTTTCTAGTTGTGCAAGAGAAGGTATATTTAAACACCAGATCTTTACAGAATTACAAACAAACCTCCTGTCTATCTGTAGGAAATGTATGTATCTGGAGATATTAGCGGTACAGTTAAAGAGATATTTTGGACAAAACAGATGCCTGTTCACATTATGAAAGATATGGTGATACTATACAGGGCTAGGACGGCCAATGTAAACATGTAGACTATTATTAGACAAATACTTCGCATCACTATCTAAAGACACGACGTATAGAGATACTACTTCCATGATAACAAATAACATTGCATATATGCAACTACCTTCGGATGGCGGAATACTGCACGTTGAATACTTAGGAACACACGTGCAAGTATATTTAACTTTCTAGAGTTTTTAAACATGGTAATTGGTTCTTAAATGGCATTCTCTAAATATTTGTATACATCAAAGTAGTATAAGAGTTATGCGTTGTGTACCTATGTTGTTGTGTGAAGTCGCTGCCGGGCAGGTATGATACAGACTGTAGTTTTGATGTTCCCCTATCTTGTGTGCTATAACGCTATCGGTGGTGATGATAACGACCTTATGTAAGTAGAATGGCTTTTTAATACCTCTGTTAAAACAGACTATTTCTCGCCAGGCATAAAAACAGCACATATGTGAAAAATAACAGATATTTATGGAAACTGAACAAAGGGTCATTGTTGTGGATACAGAGCTAACTACCAGTACCCTGGTACGGTCTATACAAATAAATAGCAAACACACACGTAATGTATTTAACAACCTGGTAAGAAATATCTTTCTGTATTAACTTCGACAGACATAATCCGCTTTTAATGCACACTACCATCAATTCAACACGACTCCAAACAAATGTTTCCTAACATTTAAATCACTAGTTACATCTACCAGAAAGTTGGTAGTGTGATTTGCTTCCCTTTGGACCTGCACATTACCTACTGTCTATATTATATTACACATAGGTATATATGCCAACTTTTAAACCCGAGAAAATTTTATCATAGCGCAAACATCATTTAAAAGGAGATTAGGTTAAAATAACAAGAGATGTGTTCTGTTGAGCAAACTTCTCAGTCAGAATGGCTGATGACATTTTCAAACAGAGGAAAGATACAAATTGTGTCGCTATTTAATTGTAGGTATGTATACGTTTATCTAATTGACATTTCGTGAACACCACTCATTAGAACGATTTTGTGTCATTGTTCAATAAATTGTATAACTGTTCAATAACTGGTGATATATTTGTTCAGGAATGGGGGTCAAAAGCACCAAGAAAACTACATCGAGTAAAACAAATGTTATATTTCAAATAAAAGAATTACCAATTCATTAATACGGAGAGACCATAACTTATAGACAAATTTCTTATCTCGACAGATCTAAAGAGGGAGTTACCTGTGTCGTTTTTATTGTTAAGAGCATTTGATTCAACAAAGTAAACTTAATGGCTACTTAGGATATGTTTACACAGGTATCCATTAGCACAAAACAAAAACAAACTAGAAAAGTACTCACCATGTTGAGGAGTTGTGTAAGGCGCATGCCCAATTTGACCGTCAGCTTCTGGACGCTACTATTACCGTCAGTACCGGAAGGACGGATGAGTTTGCTGTATCTGCCCCGCACTAACAGGTCGCTATGGAGACGCTTTTCTGCCGGTGGTTCCTGTCCGGTACAACATCCGGTCAGTACCACCAGGAGAGTGGTAACCCCAAACAACAGGCCCGAGAACAGCATGTCTCTGAACACAATGTCACACTGTGGTCACTATATCACAGAAATCCTCACCGACCGTTTCCAGTGTCACCGAGCTTGACCAGCCACCACAGAGACATATAGTTGTACTACTGTAGAACAGACTGACCTATCTTATGACCAGTTTTACAAAACTATTAGACCGTTTGTCACCGTCATACAAAGCCTATGTCTGGATACTGGAGACTCAATCCTTTAAATTTCCGAGGTATTAATTATCCGACATGTCCTCGCTGAGGTCTGAAGAAGAACCGTGCCGGCTTAGTGGAAGGCCAATATCCGTCAACAGTAATATGATTTCTCTGACTTCTAGATGTTTAAAAAGCGTCGAGTTAGTATAATTTCCTAAACACAGCCGAGCTAGACTTGGTCTGCTCGCGCACGGGAGCAGCAGTTATATTGAATTAAATCCTATGAAGTAACCCGCTGAAGTTTGATACAATTCTGGAGCCTCCCAATTTTCTGTGTATTCCTTTCCACGTGAAGCCTGCTGTCGTCGTTGTTTCCCTCCGATTGTTTGATATTTTGACATAAGTACGGCGTTCCTTACGGCCTGCTAGATCTGTACTGACCCAGGCAATGCTGTGCGGACGGGCACCACAGCTAACGAGAGACGCCCAGCTCTACACTGTCTCTCTGTGGGCGACGCTCCTAATTAAATACAAACAACATATACAGTCATTAGGAACTTTGATGAACATTTATTTTTTAATTTAACATGGTGTTTTGGTGCGTTGCCCCCAAAATTTGCATCTGCACACTGTTGCTTGATTTTATCGTCACTGAAAGCAGCTGATAAGTGATAACTTTAACGAATTCGTTTGACTTTTGAAAGTTGTGAAATCGTTTATGTTATCTACCGTACTTATGGACGTGATGGATATTAAACGTGCAGCACGTGTTGAGCTGGTGGTTCCTTCACCGTCCGCGTGATACATGATATATTCCTTGTTAATTATAGTGTACACCTATAGCGTCTGTTGCCATATCTTACCTATACAATATGTCTTTTTAAACTACTGCACACTAACAACAAAACCGAGCCCGGTGTGAAGTGCTCGAGATGTTATGGAAGCTCCGTCTGTGGCTAATTTATTATACTTTCGTCAGCTACTATCACAGCTCTACAGACGCAAAAATTATGTAAAATAAAGCCTCCATTTAAACAGTAACATGATATCTAATTCAGTCAACCTCAATCATATTCCAATTAATTTAATCGAGACGTCAAAAGTTTTATTGGAAATATAGGTAAATTATGAAATAAGTCTTTGATAAGTCTTAATTAAACAGAAATGGAAAGTCTACGTATTAAATGTATTCTACGCGATTTTCAATGCTTATATTAAAACATTTTGTATTCAACATATGCATGAACATTTAACGTTGACATTATAAAATAATTAACCCCTATCTCCGTTTTTGACGACATGTCTAAGTTCTATGGGATAGCTAACATATGCTTATCAATCCCACACACAAATACAAACACGGGGAAAGCCTTAGAAAATTTGTGTTCATTGATACGCTCACGATCTTCGTATTGACAGCTTCAGGTTGAGTGAATTTCAATTGACTTTTTGCTCGTAATATTTACATTCTCAAAGACCTGTATGATATGGATTGAAGGAATGGTCACAATAAGGACCCACTGTTGTGTGACATCAAAAGGAACTGCTACCGGCTATCGATCGCTCGGTAAACGGGCTATTTTTTGGTGTGTTATTATCAGTTCAAAGTTATTTTCTTCATGGGGCTTGACTACAATAACCGGAATACTTCAGCTAATATTTAGTTCCGAATCTCTCTTCTTTTCCTGTCTTTGCGTGGTTGACTTGTTTTCTGGCATGCGCGGCGATCAATACACTGCGCGTGCGAACCACTAGACAAACGAGTAAGAAACGATAAAACAGACGAGTGTATGTAAAGCCCTTTACCATCTTTCTTGTATCGCGTTTCTAAGTTAGAACGGAATCTTTCCGTGTGTATTATAAGCGAGGGAGTTTTCACTACGGTAAACGAGCGTAGTTTGAGATAAAGAAGCTGATACACGGACCTCCCGGGCGACGGGTGGAAACAAGGCATTCGTACACCGAGTTAAGGGTGGGACCAAGACAACTGTACACCGAGTGACGAGTGGAACCATGACAACTGTACACCGAGTGATGGGTGGGACCAAGGCAACTGTACACCGAGTGACGAGTGGAACCAAAAACACTATACACCGAGTGACGGGTGGGACCAAGGCAACTGTACCCCGAACGACGGATGGGACCAAGGCAACTGTATTCAGAACGACGAGTTGGGCCCAGGCTAGAACAGATAGCGAACGAATTATTTGGCCCAGGCTACGCAATAACGGGCGACGGGCAGGTCCCAGACCGCTGCATGCTGGGCGACGGCCGGGGCTCAGACTCGGACACGTATATGACCACTTGTTACATAGGATAGAAAACGAAATCGATTAGACTCATATTGCACATGTGTGGTCTACAACAGATGGCGCAAACCTATGTGGACGTATTTCAATAAACTTTCAAGCCAAGTGACACATTCATTCAAATGTTAACAATATCCCCGATTGATAAGCCCGCGAATTAGCTCCATACTGGTTTATGAATTATCGGTAGAAAATAGAAGAATATTGACGCGATGAAGTAGCTGGTCTTATCATCAAGATCCCTTTGTAATGGAGTGAAGTGTAGCGATTATATCACCGATACTGATTTCGAAAGATACTTCATACATCATGTTTCTGTATACATATTAAACGCCCATTGTTCTGTAAAACACTTACAGTTTGTTCCTGTAATTCCCGACCTAAGGATTGACAAATCTGGTCTATTTGTCGGGATGGCTTAGATTAAAGATTCTTGTCCGTGAGACCATCAATTAGTTACCATTAGTCTGTAGGCATGTGGCGGCCGGTGTTTAATTACCTATCTATACGTATACTGGCCCATTAGCTTCCTACGTAACCGGCACGTTAGGGATGAAGACATGCATTCGTGCTCAATGCAACATAGACATCAGTAAGTAGGTTTTCATTAGTGATCTGGGATCTAATGGCGTTCTGACCATGATCTCATGACACACTTCTACCTAACGGACTTCCTCGACATAGTTTTATTTAAAGATCTACTACCTCTATTTTACATTGACACCCCAGACTGTAACAAACATTTGAAATTAATACTTTTCACTCATTCTAACTTAACCAAACAAATAACTTTAGAAAACAACGGACCATTCCCCTTAGAAATAAGTCGGTGCTTTCACAGCCAATCAAAAGCAAGGTAACAAACAATGACGTCAATCTTATGTTACGAGATGATAGCATAAAAAAACCAATAGAAATTTTTGTTTCAAACAGGATCAAATAATAGCGTTGCTATCGTGGACATTCCAATCAAACAGCAATAAACAAATTTGAATTTTATCTGAATACAAGTTTATTGATTTTCACTGAGGTAATGAATCTAAAATCGGGTTATATTCCTAATTTTGTAATATAAATTCCATATATCTTATTCCTATAATGTGATTTGTATGGAAGCCAAAGGATTGAGATAATATCTTAGACACGTGATATTGCTTTAGAACCCCGGAAAAAGACAGTCCCGTGACAGGCCCATCTACATATTGCTAATTCAAATGATTCAAACACCAAGTATTGTGTTTAACATTCGAACTACTATGATAGTGCGATAAACGTCCTAATACACTAGTGACCTCAACAAATTTTTACAAAAATGTTTAATCACACATGATTATCATGTGATCAATAATTTAGCATGATTCAATCACATGATATAATGATGGAGGAAGTGGTAGAGCGATTACTCACAATTTGATTTAATGTTCCTTGTTTGTAAACACTGTTAAGGACTTGACTGACTTACGAGACCGACAGTCATGCGTGCAGCAGTACTTAGGAGAAATCAGCGATTAAATCATCTATTTGATCTGCAAACGCTGGACGTGTTCAATTGTATCACATCAACTTGTAATATCAATATAAAACCGAGCCGATCAATAAGACATCAATTCGTTTGCCTGCTCAGGAGAAACTGAGGGGCACTAATAACTCCAGCTAATATTTGTCGACACAATGTGCAGGCCATATTGGCCGATTCCCACGGGCAGCCTGCAGTCTATGTATCAATACCACAGAACTAACATGATCGTCTTTAGATAAGGTTCAGGTTACGTATTCGAAGTATCATTATAGACTAGTAAACTGATCAATGGCTGTGTCGAACAGAATTTGACTGTTGAACACTATCAATCTCGTCAGTCACCGGACGGAGAATTTGAACGATCTGTTTTGACAGCAATTGTCAATGCATGGACAGACCTCCATGAATACACCCAGTGCTGTCTTGAAGAATTGGCGTGTACCATATCTGAGCTGGTATCTCCATGTCCTATTCCACTAGAATACATCGCTCGATTAGGATTCGTTCTACCGAGTTTGCAGGACATCAGAAGAAAGTTAACTTAGTTAGGCCCGCGTGCACAGACACGGTTGAAAAACGACCCTCCGACCCTTCAGATGTCCTGGTGTAGCATCCGGTACAGATATCATCTTACTGGATACTAAATGTCGAGTTATGTTTTGAGACAGAATGGCTGATAGTCAAAAACAATTCAATGATCACAACAGCGTGTCAATTTTTTCACAAGGGGCATAAATGACTCTTGGGGCAAGACATATCATACGTTAACACAAGGTTACACAAATGGCGCATTGGCCTGGAAAAATCCAATATAAGCACAGGGACATAAATGGCTCATAGGGCCAGAAATATCAAATATAAACACAGGGACACAAATGGCTCATAGGGCCAGAAATATTAAATATAAACACAGGGACACAAATGGCTCATAGGGCAAAAATATCAAATATAAACACAGGGACACAAATGGTGCATTGGCCAGGAAAAATCAAATATAAACACAGGGACACGAATGGCTCATAG